AAGAAGAAGAAGAAGAAGAAGAAGAAGAAGAAGAAGAAGAAGAAGAAGAAGAAGAAAAGAAATAAGGAAGGAACAAGCTGGCTGTGTAACTAGGTTAATTAAATTCTCTGTGCCTCAGTTTTTCTTCTGTAAAATGGGAATGATGATATCACCCACCTTACTAGGATCACTGTGAGAATCTCAATGAGTTTGTCACTATAACAATGCTGGACCCTAGTAAGAGCTCAGTAGCATTTGCAGGGAGCAACTGGATCTAGAAGCCTCTGAATGAAACAGTAGCAGGATAGTGATGGGGCAGATTTGACCAGAAATGATTTCACAAATGTACAGTGACCCCTACTTGCCCCATCCCTCCCCGCATCCCTCTGAGCTCCAGTCTACCTGCCCCCTCCTTGCCTTACCATCCCCGTAGGCAGGCCCAGGGTCCTCAGCCCAGGTGGGTGGGAAGGGAACAGTAAGAGGTAAGCGTGGCCGACGGGAAGTCAGGAAGCTGGCAGCTGGCCCACCAGGCTCATGCCCCAAAGGGCTGGGGGGCAACTCAGCTGCTGAAGTGGCCAGCAGCTCCTGTAAGATGTTGATGGGTGAGACGGTGAGTTCCCAGTTGGTGATGCCAAAGTCTCGCAGGTGGGCCCGGGCATGGCTGGAAAGGCCAGCCCTTGTGTCAAATCCTGCCCCGCAGAAGTCACATCGCATCAGACTGAAGGTGCCTGGGTCGAAGTTGGCCACTGCAGAAAGAGGACATGAACTGTGTGTGGGTGGGATCACTCTGAAGCCCCAAATCCTCACCCACTGAAAATCGCCCTGGTCAGCCTGCCTTCCCTTCTGCTCCAGAGATGCTCCTGCCTGCCTCACCTCCACACACCCAGCCTCCCACACCAGGAAGCTTGACCTCCGGGGTCTTCCCTCTGAGTTGTGGAATTTGGAATCATCTGGGCGCATGCTCAGTAGGTAACCTCCTCTTGTCTAGTTTTGCTCACCATTGCCCCAATGCTGTGAATTAAATACATGTTGCATGAAGAAACACACAGAGGACATAGCACTCCCCAGTTAGCCTTCTCTGAATATGCAGGTGGAGTCAAGGATTTCCTCTCTGCTTCCCCAGCCTTCTGGTTCCCCCAATCCTCACTGCGATGTCTAACTACCTGCTTTCCTGGTGGTCTACTCCTTGCTTCCCTCCTAGTTCACTCACACGCAATCCCTACCCCAATATCTCCCTAAGTGGGCTCCATGACTACTGACATCAGAACCACCCAGAGCTACCAGATCCCACTGGAAACCAACCTCTATAATCAGAACCTCGTGGCCCCGGAAACTGCATACCCTACAGGCACCCCAAGTTCTGAAATCCACAACAATCTCATTGCTCATGGCCTGAGCCATGAACTTGAAGAATTGCTGTTTCATTTTCTGCTGGGTCCCCCAGTGCCAAGAACAGAAGGAACCCTGCTCAAGGAATTAAATGGAATTCTGCCTGAGCCTGATTGCTCTGCCCAGACCCCTTCCTCCAGCTGCCAGCATGGCCAGAACATTGGTGCCTCCCCCTATATCCACCAATATTTGGCGGCGACCTTTGCTGTGACTCCTAGGTCTCTCAGGAGGATATCCTCAGTTTCACTCTGCATGGTGCTAGGGGATTTAAAGTGAGAACAGTGGGGATTAGAACTCAGCTGCCTGGCCATATGGCTCCCAGGACTCGGAAGGAGGTGGGTGTTGGAGCAAAACCGCCCTACCTTTCTTCTTCTTCTTCTGGAAGGAAAACCGGCGCTCGATAGCCTTCACCTCCTCTGCAGAGATGAAATGCCGCACGTTGTAACTGACGCCCACACGGTTCAGGTGACCCCGCACGTGGTTGGCCAAGCCAATGCCATTGTGGAAGCGATCTGGGCAGTAGGGGCATTTCCGCTCCTCATTCTTCAGAGCCATGCCCGGGTCTCCCTCCAGGAGTGTGTCCAGCCCCAGTGGGCCACCCAGTGGTGCATCCAGGAGCAGGAAATCCAGGGGGTGGGTGATCCCTAGCCCCAACTCCTCCGGCTGCAGCCTTGGGGGTGCCCTGGCTGCTGCAGCTATGACTTGTGGCTGCAGTTTCGCCACCAGCACAATGGGCACCATCCCTTGGAGCTGCTGCCGCTGTGCCCTTGAGGCCTCTGCTGCCTGTAGGACAACTTGGAAAGTGTGCTTTAGCTCTAGGGCTGGCTGAGGGATGAGGCTGGGGGTAGTTGGGGGTGGAAAGACCCCATTCTCAGAGGAAAAATCCATTTCGGAAGTCAACACTACATCCTCATCTTCCTCCTCCTCCTCGCTCCAAGGATGCCTCTGGTCCCCCAGTCCCTGTGGGTGAACAGTGCTTCCGTTTCTACTGAGCTGTATGGGGTAAGGGGTAGATGCCAGTGGGGAGGGAAAGGCCAACCTTCCAAGCGGCCTCTGGCTGGAGTGATGAGGGAGTGGCTTAGACAGTGGGAAATCCCTTGTACCCAGCTGTGGGCAGTCTGGGCCAAAGCCCAGGCCCGGGTTGTATCCAGCAGAGTTCTCTCGCCATACTGGGGCCAAGAGCGGCTCAGCTTTGCCAAAGTAGTCCATAGCAGCATCGTCAGGGAAGCGGGTGTATGCATCCTGGCTAGGACCTGGCTGGCTGGTTGGGTCTTCCCCAAAGGCCTCGACATCCTCTTCCCAGTGGGGATGGGTGTGCACAAGTCTCATGTGCTCCCTGAGCAGGCTTTCACTGGGTGCGGGAAAGCCACAGAAGATGCAGGCACTGAGGCCTGAGGTGCCTCCATAAGGTGAGTAGACAAGGGTGCTGGCATCAGGCCCTGGGCTTCCAGCCCTGCTGCTGCTCCCAAAAGGCTCCTTGGCAGGCTGACTAGATGGCTCACGTGCATGCAGCTTAGCATGCTGCACAAAGGCTCTGGAGGAGTTGGTGCCAAAGATGCACTTGGGGCACTGCAGCCGGGCTTCACGGCCCTCATCACCTGGAAATTGCTTCAGCTTCTGGATTTCCTCAATGATCTTCTCCCGGGAGGCCTGGTGTAGCTGCCGGTGCTGCTCCAGGGCAGTGGAATCAGCAAAGGCCCAGCCGCACTCACCACAGGCCAGAGGGGCTAAGTCTGTGGGGGGCTCCTGGCCAGGGGCTCGGCGGTGCTGGCTCATGTGTTCTAGGAGGTGTTCCTTGTGCTTGAAGTAGATGCTGCACTCGATGCATGGGAACACGGCTGGCTCCTCCTCCTCCTCTTCTTCCGGGCTGGCCACACCATCAGCCACCTCCTCCAGCAGCTCACACAGGTAGGGCCCTGTTGGGACGGGAGGCAGCACAGGCTGGAGCCGCTCCACGGATGCCTCTGAGTTTACCATCCACGTCTGCGTGGCCACTTCCGAGGCTGCTGTGGGCAGGCCCCACTCAGAGGGCTGGGCCAACCCTTTGAGGTCTCTGGTGTCTACCACCTCCATGTCCAAGGTCTTGGGAGTGTCTTCCACTGGCACGATCACTCTCCTAAAGGAAGCTAGGGGAGGTGGCTGTGGAGGCAGGTCCAGGTGCAGCCCTGTGTTTCGCAGAGGTCCTTGCTCCTCCATGTCTTGGAGCCAGTCAAACCTGGGGTGGCCCTGGGGGGCCTTCTCTAAGAGCTTCAGTTCACTCTGGTGGTACAAGAACCTCCTAGAGCTGTCAAGCTCAGCATGGGGTTTCATGGCTCTCACAATGACTGAGTCCTCAAACCTCTGCTCGGATGGGATGCCCTCCCCAGCCTCCTGGACCAGGGGGTGCTCCCAGGGCCCCTGGCCATCAGGGGGGCCAGGAAAAGGACCCAGTAAATGGGATGGTGGGGAGCCCGGCCGGAAGTCCAGGCTGCCTCCATTCCAGCAGCTGTAAGGAAGTGCCAAATGGGACAGGTTAGCCGTGGGCCTCAGTTTTCCTTCAGAGAGCAGAGATGATGGGCAGTCCTCCCAGGCCATCTGAGGCAGGCCCCAGAGATCCAGCCCAAGGATGACTTGAGAAAGGATAGGAATATAGGAGGTAAGCGGAGGGTGGATGGGCCATTCTAGAATTATTTTTGCTTTTCTTTCTTTTTTTCTTTTTCTTTTCTTTTTTTCTTTTTTGAGATAGGATCTTGCTATGTAATCCAGCTGGCCTCAAACTCACAGCAATCCTCCTACCCCAGGCTCCTGTGTACTGGGGTGATGGGTGTGCACTACTGCATCCAGCTCTTCTAGAACTACTGGGTCAAAAGCCAGGTTGGAGTCTAGATGTCCACATAGCCCAGACCTGTTGCCTCATGGGGAAATGTGCAGGCTGCAGGGGTAGGGGCAGCCTCTAAGGTGCATCCCCAAATCTAGTGGCAATGTTATCCTTCATCTCTCCCCCAGGAGCGCTCAAGGCCCTGACCTGTGTTCCAGGCTGCTTCTATCTTGGTCCTCCCAAGCCCAGGTTTTTATGAATTATACCTCTCACTAAAATTTGGTGAAAGTTAACTTTGCAGCAGAACAATTCAAAAGATATACTTGCTCCCCACATCTCCTTGAAAGTAGTTGATAGGTGGTGCTCACCTCCTGGCCCCAGTGACCTTCTCAAGTGCAAAGTGGGTAGGGGAAACAAGGAAACTTCCCTGGGCTTCAGTTTTCCAGTCCTCAAAATGGGGATGAATTTCAGAACCAGGAACCTCCTAATCCTTATACAATGTCTAAGGAGGGTTTTTGTTTTGTCTTTTGTTTTTGCTTTTTCTTTCCTTATTTATTTATTGTTTTCCTTTCAGAAGGGATTGAATTCAGGGCCTTGCATATGCCAGGCAAGCACTCTAACACTGATGTACATCCAAGACCCTTTTTACAATTTTTTTTTTCCACTTTGAAGCAGGGCCTTGCTCAGTCATTAAATTGCCCAAACTGGGCTTGAACTTGTCATCCTCCTGCCTCAGCCTCCTGGGTAGCTGTGATGACAGTCCTGTGCCATCCCAGCTGTGCCATGCCAGACACATAGTTAAGGAGCTTTCTCACACATTACACACAGCAGGTGGTTATTTAAATACTCGCAAGGCATAGGGATGTAGCTTTGTGTTAGAGTTCTTGCCTGGCACGCATGAGGCCCTGCGTTGGATCCCAGCACTGTAAAAAAAAAATTTTTTTTTTTAATGCTCACAACCACAATCTTTCAAAGGGGGACCCTGATCCTGAAAGACGTAGGGTAAGGACAGGCACAACTTATAGCTCAGGGAAGCACTTTGCCTCACCTGTTGCCTGTGCAACAGAAGTTCTCCTGGTCAACTCTGTGTTCGTTTTTAAGATCCTGCCTTCATGAGGGGATACTGGTCGAGCCCATTCAACAGAAGACACGGGTTCCTGTGTCAGATGGAGCAGGAACCACAAAGCTTCCTTTCAAACCCATCTGTGACGTGCGAAAGGAACAGAGCCATCCTTCCACAGCTGTGGCAAAGATTCAGTGGACCAAACACCTGCCAAGCGCTCAGCACCTAGCAGTCATGATGAATTCCAAGAGCTGTCAGATCATTATATGCTGGCACCTGCCATGTTGCTTAATGAAAGGTAGTGGCCATTGGCATTGTGCTTGACTCCTGCTCTTACCCAGTGCCCCTTGGGTTCTTAGGGCATATCTGTGAGATGCATCTTATGGTTCTATTTTACAGATAAGGAAACTGAGGCTCAGAAAGGCCTAACATCATTCTAAGGGTCACCTGGCAGAGAGACAGGACTCCAAGGGTCCACCCTGTAGACTCAGGCCTCTTTGGCCCTGCTCCTGGCAGAGATAATGAGAGTTGACTGTCTGTGTTCATGCCAGACCTCCCCCCGCCCCTAGCACACACCCAGGGGCTTGCCTGCTGGGAGCCACCTCCTCCTGCCTGGCCTGATTCCCTCCTGTCCCCTTTTCATCTCCCAGGGGCTTCTCTCAGGCCTGGGCCCCCCTGCCCTCCCTGAGGTCAGGGCCAGCATGGCACTCACCAGCTGCTGATCCGATGGGTGGCGGAGGTGGCACGGGGAAGGGCTTCGCTGAGGCCAGGATAGGGCTGCCCGTCTGCAACAGAGAGGGGAGACCCTGAGGGGCTGGGGCCCCCCTGCCTGGGGCTCCACACCCCAGCTTTTGGAGGCCTGCGGGGCACCTCAGAAAGGCCCTGCTGGCTTCCAGCTCCTTTCCCTGAGAGGCCTTTGGCCTCTACATTCCTGAGCCCCAAAAGGGCTTTGTTTGGAGGAGACCCCATAGGTCTCCTGGGGGCCCCAGGGGCTTGCTGCCTTCCAACCCTCCTCTCTTTCCCCCAACCCAGCAACCAGGGTGATGGTTTAAAATCACACCTTGGTAGAAACTCAGCTGGCTTCTCATTATGCTTACAGCAAGAGCCAGATTCTCAAATGCCACCACAAGGACCTAGGACAGTGCTACAGTGGGATATTTATTTCTGAAAGCTCTAAAAGATTCACCATCTCTGCCCTAGGAGGTTGGATGTTGAATCCAACCTCTCATGCCTTTCCTAGCCCCTTGCTGCCTCTTCTCTGACTGTGTGGCCTTCTTGGAAAGCCTTAAGCCCACCTAACTTTCCAGCCTCAGAGCCTCTGTACTTGCCCAGAGAACTCTTTGCAAGCCACATACTCAAGGGCTCCCCTATCATTAGCTCTCTCAGCACCTGTTTCATTGCTTTCTCAGTATTCCCAGAAGCTGCCAGGTTCCCTCTTTGAATGACTGGTCTCAGTCCCCTGCAAACACCTAAGTCCCACCAGAGTATGGCTCTGTCAGCTTCATTCACTTAGCATTCCAGCGCCTGGCACACAAGTGTTCCACAAATACATGCCAGGTGATGGATGAGGAGCCAGTCCAGACTAATCTATGCAGGGCTCATCACTGCCTTCTGGACTCCCTTCTAGGCCCAAATCCTAGGATGGAATCCCTTCCTGGGCATCCCCCAACACAGATAGAGCCAACTCTCCATTATCCGCCTGCTGAGCCAACGCCTGGAGCGACCACAGGAATCCTGGCCTGCGTCTCTCTGCCCGCCACGCTTGCCTGACATAAGCAAGCATGCCAACTGGGGAACAGGCCAATTGTCTGGGCCAAGGTTAACACACTGGGGGAACTTGTGCCCTGGCCAGGGCCTGACAGATGCAATTGCTGGATTAGCCTCAATTTGAAGATGGTCCAGAATGAGGGCAAGGGCCGGGGTGATTTGCTTTTTTCCAATCTTGCACTATCCAATTTGTCCTGGAACTTGAGAGCCAACCATTGGGAATCAAAGAAGGAAAATGGGGAGGGGGGATGATCAGGAATGTGTGTTGAGGACTGCTGAGCCTGAGTTAAGGGCTGTGACAGTCGGCATGGCCTAGAAAGTGAAGGTGAGGGTGCGGGATGACCTTGCACTGTAGGATGCTGAGTAGCATCCTTGAGGTACCCTCCCCATGCCACTACTTCTGTCTCCCACAGTTATGACCACCAAAAAGTCTCCAGATGTTACTAACATGTCCCCTGAAGCAGGGAATCAGTGACCCCATTTAAGAACCATGGGGATGGATAGGTGGGGAGCAGGGCTGTGCTGGGGGGTCAGCAGGGCTGAAGTTAGAGTGAACTGTTAGAGAGTGGGGTGGCTGAGAAAGCAAGGTCTGGGCCAGTCAAGGAAGAATGACCCAAACAAACAGGGTCTCTCAAGGGCACACAGGTCACAGATGCAAACTTCTTTCAGGGTTGACTGATGCATGCGTAACCAGCCCCAGCACACCCTAGAAGTGAGGGTCCTAGGCGTCCTGTTTCTGAGATTCTGGGAGCCCAAGGTCCCGAGATTCTTGATGTCCCAGATCTGATGGTTCTGTGATTGCCGTTGTCTAAGAATTCCACAAGCCAGGGGGTCACATTGGCCTCTTTGTCTGAGCAGCTCCAGTGAGGCTTCCTATTTTTAGTGGCAGCAACTTTGGAGGAAGGAGGCCAAGCAGAGCCTGTGTTAGAGACACTTGGAGGTGGGCCTTTGGAGCCAGCCAAGTCTGAGTTCAAGCCCAGCTGTGGAATCTGGCGGGCTTGCCGTGCCCACTCCAAGCCGCGGTTTCCTCCTCTGCACAATTAGAACAGCCACCTCCCCACTCTTGCAGGGTGAGTGATGGAGTCCAGTAAGAGCACAGTAAATGTTCCATCCAGGGAAACAAGTCATGGAGAGAAAGAAGGGAGGTGGGCTCCTGGGGGTGGGGCCAGCTCCTCTACCACCCAGGACAGAAGCTGGAGGCTCGACTCAGAGCTTCAGGCCAGCTTGCTCCATGCTGATTTCCTCCTCAGCCTGAGGCCCCACGAGGGCAGAAATGATGAATGACTTGTCCTTGGGTGCCCCGTCCCCAGTGCAATGTGAAGCATGTACCAGATTTTTCATTGATCCATATAGAATGTCTGAAGCCCCCCTCCCTGTCCCCAACTCTGCTGTACCTGAGATGCATTTCAGGCAGCAGCTATGGGGAATCCTGGAGGCTCCCAGCCAACGGCCATATTGGAAGACAGAGCAGGTCGTGGACACTTTGTTGGCCAGGCAGAGGAATTTAGAGATGGCCACTCCAGGCAGTCCAGTCTTTGGGGGGCCCCAAGGGCTGAGTGGAGATGAGGGAAGGCCCAGGCTTTGGGGGTGGAACAGCAGCCCCACAGGCTGTTTCTATTTTTAGGTGTCACAAGACTCTCAGGGCAGGTGCCCAAGTCTGAGGGGTCGGGCAGGCCAAGAGGATAGGCCAAGAGGACAAGAGGAGACAGTGTTCAAAGCCCATAGCTTCCTCCCATCTTTAAGCCATGATCCCACACCGAGTCCAGCCATCCCTACCCTGTACCCTCATTTGTTCCTAGGGACCATGAAGGGTGGGCCTGACCTTCTTTGGTGGCTATATCCCCCTCCTCTCCAGGCTGTAATTTACTTTTTTTTTTTTTTGTGACAGGGTCTTGCTATAGTTCAGGCTGGCCTTAATTCACTATGTACCCCAGGCTGGCCTCAAACTCTCAGCAATCCTCCTGCCTCAACTTCCCAAGTGCTGGGATTATAGGAGTGTGCCACCACACCTGACACCCCCAAGCCAAAGCCAGGTGCATTTTGTGAATCTCTGGTTGCTTGCCAGGGACAGTGAGGTCACACTTCCTGACCTACTTTTCCCCTCTCTCCAGACCTGGGTTGTCTGGTAGAAAAGAAATGCCCAATCCGTCAGAATCAGACCTACAGAGGATCCCAGCAAGTTTCTATCAAGCTTGCCCTGCCCAGCTGTATGAACTAGACAAGATCCTGCCGCTTTCTGGGCCTGGAGGAAGCAATCGCTAATGTACTAGGCTAATCCTCTGTCCCCTTAGTTGGGCTCATTGTCCCTCATCCCACACCTTTCACTTTCTGAACAACTTCTGGATGTTCCCAGGCTGGGCCAGGTGCTTCTTCCTTTACACCTCAGTAACTGTCTTTATACCTGGTGCATATTTGTCTCACCTGTAGGGTCCCTCATGGCAGGGATGGTGTGTTCTTGGCCCCATGAAGGTGCTCTCTACATACTGGAACATTGTAAGAAGTGCTCACAGGCAGAGACAGGTCAAGAACCCCTAAGGATGAGTGAAGTCCAGTGGCCAACACTGCAAACTACATCATGCGATGCCTGGCTTTGTGATCTTGGGCAACTTATAAAAGGTCTCAGTTTTCCCACCTCTAACATGGGATAATAACAACAAAGGGCATACCACCGGTTCTTCAAAGAGTGATATGAAGTTATTATCAAAGGGGTTGACAGGTAGGACAACACCAATGAGGTGCTCAGGGGTTCCTGGGAACCAATGCCTTGGAGGCAGGACAAGGAGATGAAAGGAGAGATTCTCCAGTCACACCAGGCTCCTGCCTGGTCTTGATATGCCTGGTTCCTCCCTACCACAGGACCTTTGGACTTGCTGTACCTTCCCACCATCCATCCTGTGCTGCTCCATTCAAAAGCCATTTTCTCAGGGAGGTTTTCCTAGGTCCCCTACATGTGCTCCTGGCACTGTGTTTACTTCTTTCACAGCCTGTCACCCTCTGCCCTTATGACATTTGCTTGGCACCTTGCTGTCCATCCCTACTTCTAGAATGGCAGCCACTAGATAGATAAAAACTCTTGCCTCTCTGATTTGTGGCTGTTTTCCCAGCAACTAGAACACAGCCTGGCACATAGTAGGTGCTCAGTATTTCATGAAGGAATAACAAATCTTAGGGTGGGGACAAAGTGAGACATCTTTTTATAGGGTAAACCAAGGCACAAAGGGTAGCAGACATCCTTGACTCCCCGTTCTCTCCCTTGCCACCAGAGGGCACAAGCTCTTTTGGCCCAGGGTACAGAGGCAAGACAACCAAGACAGCAAGTGGGAGCTAAGATAGACTGATGGGAGGAGGTACACAAGGGGCACAGGGGCTCAGGGTGCTGAGGTGGATGCCTGCTTTTAATTAGTGCCCATTTCAGAGGAGAGAGCTGGGCCAACCAGAGTGTCAGACCTGCTCCTTGCCACCCACTGGGCACCCAAAGCATCTGTTTGCACAGCTGTAAAATGGGAAACTAAGCGGATGCAAAGAGAAGACACTGGACTCAAGGAGAATCTGAATCCCCAGCTCAGCTCCTGCTAGATTGGGTGACCTGGCTCTCTCCAAGCCTCAGGGACCCACTGGATGTTCCCTCTTACCAGAAATGCCACCTCTGCCATCCAGAATATCTCGGGGACCTTCCTTCGTGATAGGCAGGTAATGGGTAGATCGGAAGATGCTACCTTCACCCTCAGCAGCCTCGGCCCCACCCTCGATGTCCTCCCTTGGAGCTGGACCAGGCAGTCTCTCTGGGCCTCGAGGACGATCAGGGGTGACTAGGCCTCCTGCCAGGGGTCCCTCCATGGATGCACTCAGCTTCGCTCCTCTCAGCACCCGGCTGGCTTAGCGAGGCATTGTGGTCTGGGAACAGAGAGGAAGAGGTGCTTAGGGGAGGATAAGACAGAGATTCCATCTCAGTTTTCCCTCTCTCAAAACCTCAGTCCTGACCCTGGAGACCCATCACCTCAGTTTACCTCCAAATCCAACATAGCTAAGTAAACGGTGCTGAGGCCCTGCCCACACACTTACATCCCAAGGAGCTCTACAAACAGTATTCATCAGTCTCCCCACAGGCAACACTTCTCTTTACCAGGTTGTTCACTGCCTCAGTTTACCCTGCTGTACTCGTGCACACACAGACATCTTGTTTCTTTCCATCACTAAATCCTATCGCTTTTTCGCAGTTCCTCCCTTCATTCACACACAGCTTCACTTTCACTCATTGCACCCCAGCTTCCTGGAATTGGCACATCCTCCAGCCATGCCTCCCTCTCCTTGAATGCCAGCCACATCCCCATGCTGAGCCCTTATACCGCCTCAAGTGCCCTGTCATTACCCTTTCACTTTTCTCGCCTGGGTTGCCCCTATCAATTACTCCTGCACTTTGCCCACACTCTAACCACAGCCCCCCAGGACCGGAGGGTTCTCAGCATTAACCCCTTCACTCCCATGCACAGCCTCAAGTGACCCCAGCATTAACCCTTTCACTTCTTGACAGCCTTGTCCCTCATGCACACCCAGCCTGGGTTCTCCCATTCCCCCAACCTCCATCCAGATTGCTCTGGTCAGAGGGCAAAAAGGAGCCATAGTGCTCCTGGTCCAGAAATGAGGACCCCAGAGAGAGGGGCCTGTCCTCTCCACCTATAAATACCTTCAAGGTAACGGCTGAAAGTGAAGGGCAGGAATGAGGCGCCCTCCCAAGAGAGATGGTGGGGAGGCCGGGCCCAGGCAACCGGGGCGGAGCCGGGGCTCCAGGCCTGGTTGCAGGCGCTGCCCTGGGGGCCTGGGGCTCCCAGGGGGCTGGTCCTTGGGTTGGCAGTCCTGGCGGGGTCCCTGCCCCGGCCTGAAGGAAGCACATGCAGGTGCCCACCGGGTGGACACTGCCCGAAGGGATCGGGCGGGACCGTAACTTCGAAGCACTTTGGCAGCTGGGGTGGGGGCGCCCGCCCAGACGTCCCCCAGGGGTTGCAGAGCTGGGGGCTGCACCGCGCAGCTGCACCCCTCAGGGAGCCGGGGTCCCGGGGAGGCGCCCTCTACCCGTGCACCTCGGGGCGGGAGACCCCGCGGGACGCATCGAGGTAGGGGGAGACACCTGCCCAAAGACCCCCGCCCCTCCCCCACCTGAGCGGCCCCGCCCCCAGCCAGGCCCCGCCCCTGTAGGCCCCGCCCCGCCCCCCGCCCTTGGGGGTCCTGCCTGGCCCGGCCCGGCCAAGGCCTCCCCCTCCCCGTTCCGGCTCCGCCCCGCCCGCGGGCTCCCCAGGCCGGGCCGGGCCTCACCAGGGAGGCGGCGCCGCCGGCTGGGTGCCAGGGCATGGAGCTCCCCTCCTCTGTGCGGCTGTCTCTGCCGCTAACAGCGCTGTCGCTCCCGGTGCCGGTGCCGCGGCCTCCGCAGCTGCCGCCGCCTCCACCGCTCGGGGGACATTGTCCCTTTAAATCGCTCCCCCGGCCGCCCCGCCCCCCGGCGCGCTGCCGTGACCTCAGCGCGACAGCCCCGCCGCGCCGCCATGATGGGAAGGTCCTCCCCCCCTTGTCCCCCCCCGGGGGGGGGCAGCCAGCGGGCGCACCGCCATGTTGGGAGTGGCCAAGCAGGTCACCCTTAAAGGGTCCGCTCAACCCGAGGGGGAGCTCTATTACCATGACCACACTCTGGTCCTCCCACCCCTAATGGTTCCCATCACTCCACTGGTTCTTCCAATGCTAGGCTCCCTAATAGTACCAAAAGAGTGGGGAAGGGCTGAGAAGTTAACCCTTGGGTCATTCATAGGTCATCGATCGGGGTCTCCATCCACTCAGTCCTTAGCTTCTAGTTACTTGGCCACTGTCAGCTATCTTCGAACCAGAGGTCCACTCCGTCCTTTTCAGTCATTCATATCAGACTTCAGCATCACAACCTTATTGCCTTCTTTCACCTACCACCCACCTATCTTCCTACTCATTCATCCACATGCTCAATCAACCACTTATCTACCCATCCTACCAATCAGTCACCTACACATCCACCCCTTCCAATCACCTATCAATCTATCCACACACCCATTCAATCCACCCATATCTGTCCATCTAACTGCCCTTCACTCCAACATCCAGGTAAATACCTGTTTATCCATACAACTAAGCAAGCATCCAGCCATCCCTACATACATCCTTCTACCCAGCTACCCATACATCTATCAATTGCAGGTTTCTTTGTTGTTTCCACACAAGGACATAAATTTTGTTGTTGTTGTTTTGTTTTTTGGTACTGGGGATCAAACTCAGGACTTTGTGCTTGCCAGGCAGGCACTTATGCCACTGAGCTATATCCCCAGCCTGAGGACAGAAGTTTTGTCTGCCTGGTTCATTATCATTTCTCCATGACCAGCTTTGAATCTTAGAAGACTGCACAGTGTATATGATCTATATCTATGTGTCTATTCCATGTCAATATTATTCAATTTAAATATTTATTTCCCACTGTGAGCCAGGCCTTTCCTAGGTAGACATATCTATCCTACTTAGCCCATTTACCCAACTATTTATCAGTTCTAACAGGGAACAAATGCTGACCCATCCACTGTCTACTGTCCCAACCACCATGCCCCATGATTCCATTGCCTACTCATTTATTCAGATGTTTTCCTACAGAGCACAGTCATCCTTTTTTGTTTTGTTTTTTTTGTGGAACCGGGGATTGAACTCAGGCCCTTGAGCTTGCCAGGGAAGCGCTTATTCCACTGAGCCATCTCCCTGGCCCCAGTCATCCTGATATACACTTACTTATTGTTCATCTTCTTCCTAGACCCATGCCTTCCCTCCCTCCTTGAAGGAGCAGACTGAGTATCAGGGGTCTAAGAAGTCTCTCATCTGGAGCCTGGCAGTTGACAGGTGGGTGGTAGAATCCAGGCTTCACTGAGAAGCAGGTGCTGCCCATGAATTCCTTTTACTGAACACCTTTAACTAAGGGTCTGCTACTGCGTAGGAAACATTGGATGCATTTTACAGATGAAGCAGTGCAAGCTGTAGAAAGCAGTGCCCTAAAGGCACACAGCTGGTGAGAATCTGCTTACATTTCCTCATAGTAGGGGAGAATTTGGAAGAGCTGAATGAGGGTTAGCGAGTGAGCTCTGATTAGTAATACTTAGGGGCAAAGAAACCGTTGATTATACTGAAATCAAGATTTTACTGAACAACTTCACAGGGCCAGAATGGTTGGCACCCACAGCTCCACACTCTGACTTAGGCCTGCTTGGCCTAAGGTAGAGTCAGACCTTCCCCCAAGACAGCTGTGCTCCTGGGGCACATGGGGCGGGATGGGATGCTCAGGGGGTGTCTCCATTGACACAGGGTACTTGGAAGGGCAGGGACTGGCTCCCAGACCCTGGTGTCCTCAGATGAAGTTGCAGGCTCTGGAGTGAATCCTTCAGCTGGATCTGAGAGTGCTCCATCTTAGTCAGGCGGCGCTCCTGGGGAGGCGGTGGAGATGGGTTGGAAGCCAGGGAAGGTTGCACCCAGTCTTTGTTCCCCCCCTTCCCAGCACTGCCTAGGGCTCCAGCTGAGTCTCACCAGACTTTTCAACCTGTGACCATCACCACTTGGACAAGTAACTTCTGGATCCAGCTCCGAGGTCCTGTAGGGGTGAGAGAAGAGGTAAAGTCAGAGGTTGAAGTAACTATCAGGTCTAAGTGGTACAAGCAGGGGTCCAGAGGGTGGGGCTTGAAGTGGGGGGCGGGGCCAAAAGAAATATGCAAAAAAGTCAGATCAGAGCTTGGCATGTTTAACACAAAAGGAACGCTTATAAGCCTGTAATAACAGCACTTGGGAGGCTGAGGCAGCATCATCTCTGAAATTTTAAGGCCAGTATGGGCTATGTAGCAAGATCAGCGAGATCTTGTCAGGAAAAAAAAAACTATCAACCCGTAGAGGCGGTGTTTGGCCAGTTCTGAGAGGGGTTGAGACTGGGTAGGGTAGCACCCACCCAGAGATATGTCCCCTGGCCTAGCCTGGGGTTGACAGAAGGGTGGGGGTCTGGGGGCTGTTGAGGCCAAGACGCGGGGTGGGGGTGGGGGGGAAGACCTTGTGGTGGGGCCTGTCGAGGGGACGTGGTCATTCCAGGCGAGACCCAGACAGATCTCATTCGTGCGGGCCATCCTGGGGGCGGAGCTAATGTGTAGAGGCTCACCCGACTGGGATCCTGGTGTCCAGCTCCTGCAGCTGTCCCCTCAGCTTCTCCTGCTGCTCTGTCAGGGCCCGGATGTGAGTGCTCAGTGACTCCACCAGGCGGGACAGTGCTTTCTGCTCCTTGCGCAGCGCGGCCACTTCACCCTGGAGTTCTGCCAGCTGGGGGCACACAGCTGCTGTCATTGTACCCAGTTGCCCCTCTCTTTCTGTCCTCAGAGACTCTGGCCTCCCAGTCCTCAACATTGAGTTTTCCCACCACCCTGCTGCGGTGGGAAACATCACCCTGTGGTGCAAATAGTTTGGAAACGGAGGTGCAGAGTACCCAGTCATTCAGCTCAGTGAACTCAGTGTTTAAACTCAGTTTTTGCTTTGTTTTGAGACAGGGTCTTACTCTATGGCCTAGGCTGGCCTCGAACTTACAGCGATCCTCTTGCTTTAACCTCCCGAGCGCTGAGATGACAGGCGTGAGCCACAATACCCAGCTTGAACCCAGTTTTACCTGGCCTTAGGTCCTATCTCGGTCTCATTTCTCTGCACTCCTACCCCTCCTCCCACCCTCAACTCTGGGCGCACCTGGGCCAGATCTCACCTTGCCCATAGGTCGGTGTGTGCCTGGCACCTGGTCCTTGTCCCGCGGCTGGTCTAGATGGCGTTGCCAGGGCACCGATGGCTTCCGAGGCAGCGAGGTGGAGACCCCGGTCCAGGGCCGGCTTCGGGCCTGATGGGCAGATCTGATGGAGCCTTTGGGGCGCGGCTGGGGCCCCAGGGATGTGCGGCGGCGGCGGGTAGCAGGTACGCTCTGCGTGCGTTGCACTGGCCTGGCCCGCCGCAGGGGCTGTTCCTCCTCCGCCTGCCGCCTGGCCCAGCTCCCTGCACCTTGAAAGGTGCGCAGAGACTGGCTCTTGATGAGAGGGGTGTGTTTGGACAGGTCCCGAGGTGCCAGGAAGCCGGGCTTCTCTCTTGCAGAGAAGCTGGGAGAGGAAAGGGAAAGCCCAGATCCTGAACTGGTCCTCTGCATGACCCAACCCCGACCCTTGATCCTGATAGGATCATGTTTTGACCTGTGACCCTGAGAAGACCATGTTCTTGACTTCTAACTACTATACCATCCTTACTATGACCCCTGACCCTGTACAGACTTTGCTTCTTCTCCATTTCTGACCCTGTCTTCCCACGCAACGTGACCCTTGACCTGATTCTTTCTATAGCTTCCCCCCACCCCATTTGACTTTGCACTTGATTTCAAAGTCACTCTCTTCCTTCCCAATCTGATCCATTCTGTCCAGCTTCTGACCTTAAACTGACCTTGTGTTCCTGCACCCTGATAGAATATGGTTCCTTTTTTTTTTTTTAATGTTTCCTTTATTTATTTATTTTTTCTTTTTTTATGGTCAGCTCAGCCCACCCTGTGGGCGGGGCTGGCATGGCATGTGGTGCTGGGGATCAAACCGAAGTCCCTGCATGCTTGCCTAAGCAGGCGCTTTAGACCACTGAGCTATCTCGCCAGCCCCCAGAATATGGTTCCTTGACAGGCATGGCGGCACATGCCTGTAATCCCAGAACTGGGGAGGCTGAGGCAGGAGGATCACCTTGAATTTGAGGCCAGCCTAGGCTATATAGTGAGGCCTTGTCTCAGGGAAAAAAAAGGTCCCTGACTTCTGATCCCAAATATGAAAATATGACCCTGCCCACGATGCCTGATCCCTCTCTATCTTAGGTCTGACCTCTGATCTTCATGCGTGAGGACTGCCTTACAACATCTGATCTCAACAGCACCCCCAGTTTGAGCCCCATCCACAAGCTCTGAATACAGCCTCCATCTCTGATGGCAAGCTTTCGTCCTCTCTCTGCTCCCAGGGCTGAACCTTCCTTAACCTCTGATATGACTCAGTGTGACTCAGGGACTGTCTGCCCTTGGACTACATTATAATCAAATCCTTAACTCCTCATACAAGGCAGCCAGTCTCTCACCTCTGTCCTACACTGTTTCTGACAGCAACTCTAACTTGATTCTGTCCCTGATTCCTCACACAATATTTTCACCTCTGATCCCAGTTTGAACTCCATCCCTGTACCCCTCCCCTCCCCTGAGCCTCAATCAGACTTGAAGTTACCTGGTGTGGACCTGGGAAGGAAGCAGTGGAAGACACATTGGCACAGACACAGGTACTGGGCGGCCTTCCTCAATGGCTCGTAGAATGGTGGGCAGTGGTTCCAAGCTGTCACGGGTTGCCTAGTAACACATGCACAGAGAATGCTGAGGGACTCTGAGGGCCAGAGGCTCCCAGTCTTCTTGCCTCCTTTACCCCATGCCAGGGCTGTATGCTCAGATCATACCTGGTCAAGCTCAGCAAAGATTGTGCAGAGCTGGGCATGCAGGACAGCCAATTGGAGGGCCAGGTCGCTGCTGCCCTGGTAACCACTAGGTGTGGCATCCACATCAGTCATGGCCACCTGGTCCAGGAAGTGTTGCATGGCTGGTCCATGATCCTCCAGAAAGCTATTCATGAAGCCCATGTAGGCTTCTTTCTCACCAAATCTGGGTTGGGCGAGAAGAGATCAATGAGCCAGGTCAGGCGGCTGCCAACCCACATCCCTATCATGACCCCTAACACCTACGGGGCACGGTTGGCGAGGTTCTGGATGACTTTGGCAATCAGCGTGAGGGTACGGGCTGGGTTTGGTGCTGGATGTTCTGGTGCCAGGCCAAAGAGGCTGGGTGCCAGGATGGCAGGGCACAGGAGCCGCAGGAAGAGGGAGGCACACACCAGTCGAGAGCCCAGTGCCTCAGAGCTTCGTGCTTTGCATGCTTCTCGCCAGCCTGAGAACACAGCGCTGAGCTCTGCTGGGAACCAACTGGGGCAGAAGGAGGCAATGGTAAAATGAGGTGGCTACTGAAATAAGATCTTCATGGTCAAGGTCATCTGGAAATCATTATGTGGCTCATCAATGACCTGCCCATAAAGCTATTTATTTATTGGCAGAACCAGGGATTGAACTCAGGCCCTTGCGCTTGCCAGGGAAGCACTTACTCTACTGAGCCATCTCCCCCCCCTCCATAAAGCATTTATTAAGCCCAAGAAGGTTTTATACTGAATCTGGGGTCTGGGTTTCAGGATCAGGAACACCTGGAATGAGATGTGTGGACCTCTTGAGAATGTGGGTGGCTCTGTGGTGGGTCAGGACTTACAGTGTGTTATTAGGGCAACTTCTGGAGTCAGCACTGTGACTTGGACTTATGTACAAGATCACATAGGGACAGAGGTCGTGAGATTGGGGGCAGCTGTACCTGGATGTGAGGCTAGGGTGCCAGAATATGTATGAAGTAGGATGCAGCGGGGGTTACAGAGTCATCTGGAGTCAGAAGTCATGGGATTGGCATGCAAATTAACCTAGGATCAGAAGTCCAGGGACTGGACTCCCAGGTGACTTCTGATCAGTTTCATTGGATTTGGAGTACAGGGTCCATTAAGGTCAGAGGTCATGGGATCAAGGGTATGTATCAGCTGGAAGCAGAGGTTATAGGACTGAAGTCTTAACTGACTAGGGAAAAGTGGTAAGGAATTGGGATTGGGATAACATGATTTAGAGGGCAAGGAACTGGAGCCCAGTTGGGGTCAGGTGTCATGGCTTTGGGAATAGGATCACCGAATACAGCAAATAAAATTTCAAGACACTCAGCTAGACTTGACTTTCATATAAACTATTAATACATTTTCTTAATATAAGTATGTCCCAAGTAGTGAATCCTATTTAACCTAGCATTATGTATTTTATCTGGCAACTCCAACTGGGAGGTCACTATGCTAATCCTTAGCAGAGTGGCTGAGGGGTGGGATGGGTTCAGGTGCTGGGCCCCTCATTCTCACTCGTAGGAGTGGACGATGGTTTCAAAAACCTCTTCACAGCTGTTCCGAAGTCTGGCTTGGTGTGCGGGCAGCTCTGGGGCTGGGCATTTGCTGGGGTCCACCTCACAGTCTTCAGTGGAGGCACAGAGACGCCGTACAACCTGCCCTGCAGCCCAGTGCAGCCAGAGTGTTCAGAGTTGTAATAAAACCCCCCACCTCACTCAGCCTCCAACCCTATCTCCAAATTATTCCAAAAGCGTTTAACATTTAAGAAATTTCTAACTACCCCGTCCCCTGCTCTCTAAAAGCATCACCTTCTGCCAGGTTACCCAGGGCATCCTAAAAATCTTCTGGGATCTCCTGTCCCACCCAGCAGGAGTCTGACATCAGCCACCTCCTCTACACTCACCCAGGGTTGCCTGGAGGTAATCCTGCGCCACCAGCTTCATGTACTCGTCAATGGCCTTGGTGGCTAATGTGTTTTCTCGAAATAGCAGCGCCTCTCGGCCTCCACAGCGCGCCAGCTCCGCAGTGCCCAGGTCTGTCACCAATGCCTGGTTAAGGCAGGGGTCGTCACACTGAAGGCTTAGCCCATCCTTTACACCTGGGGCACAGCCTTGGCCCCTCCTTGCTGATACTCAGGCCTAACTCTGCTGGGGTTCTCCGCTGAGGCCAGGGCGTCCATCACTCACAACTCCACTACTCAACTCAGGCCCCGCCCCAAGCCGCTAAAGTTCAAGCCCCGCCCCACACAGATGCTGCTCAGGTCCTGCCCCGAGGTAGCCCCGCCTCTCGCAGGTAGTGCTTGGGTGCCCCGCCCACTCCCTCCCCCGGCGCCCCTTCTTCTCTGATCTCCCGGGAGTTCTCGGGTCTGTGCTCTCCTGTTCCTCACCTGCGCCCGGCCGGTGGCCCGTAGCACTCTCACCATGGCGGCCGCCAGCTCCTCCTTGGCCTGGGCTGGCAGCGCGGGCTCCAGCGCCCCACAGAGGCGCGCGTAGTGGAAGGTGAGGAACTCTGCCAGCTCCTTGTAGCGTTCAGACTGCAGCACCCGCAGGCGGCGCGCCCGCACCCGCGCCCGCAGCGCCGCCCCCGCCGGCGCCCTAAGCAGCGAGAACCAGCGCTCCAGGCCGGATGGGGGCGCGCGGGGGGTGCTCACTTCCTCCAGCGCTAGTGCCACGCGGCCCAGGACTGTGCCCGCCGGGTCCGCACAGCGCAGCCGCAGCGACAGGCGACGGGCTGGCGGCAGCGCTTCGAAGTGAAAGCGCTCGGCCCAGAAGAGCTGCCCGGGCCCGGCTCGCGGAGCGGTGCGCGCCAGCAGCGAGCCGTCCAGCCATAACTCTGCGCGCACTCCCTGCGCCCCTGCGGGCCGGGGCAGCCCCTTCGCCTCGTGCACCCACACGCTCAGCCAAGTCTCCTCCCGCTCTGAGTTGTCCTGGGGTGTGGAGTGGGGAGGGAAAAAGGGTGAGTGTTGGGTGGGCGTGGGTGCTCCGAGACCGGCGCTGTGGTAGAAGCATGCTGCCTTGCCGCACGCGGTGGCGCACATCTGTCATCCCAGCACTGGGGAGGCTGAGGCAGGAGGATCACCGCGAGTTTGCGGCCACCCTGAGCTACATAGCAAGGTCCTGTCTCAAAGTAGCAACCAACTAAAACCAAACAAAGTACAAAACTAAAGAAAACGGAAGGCGGCCTTTGCAAGGTGTTGCAAAGGTGCGGTGGGTGGGGCAGCGTGTTGCAGGGGAGGGATTATGGCACGCTCTGCGTTTGGGTAGCATAGAATGAACAAGAGCCTAGCCAGGGAGTAGGATCTCCGCATCTCTACCCGCCTCCACCTCCGACAATGACCTGGATTGGCTGGAAATGGCGACGAAGGTCCTCAATCCAGCGATCTCGCTCAGCAGCCGAACGACAAGAGAAGCAGCGGCTGCCTCCCGCCCACGTCACCTGTCAAGTCAGGGGATCCAACGGCCAGGCTGGAGCAAAAGTGAGGCCAAAGCATCAAGAATGGGACTTTGGAAGAGAGGGGTGGCCCGAATTTACCTGGAAGCAGTAGGGCTCTCCCAGGAGGCTGGGGTGCAGTGGCCGGACCCGTACGTCCCGCTCAGCGCCCAGGTCCAGCTCCGAGAGGGTGATCAGTGATTCTCTAGAGCCCAGAGTGCTGGGGGGTCTGAGATTGGGGGTGAGTGAGCAAGCAGTCATCCCTCGCTTCCCTCCACACCCCCCCCTCAGCCTGAAGGGTAGAGGAAGGACAGAGACTTGAAGTTAAGTTGTATCCCTCCCCTTTCCCATTTTTCTGGCACTCACACTCTGGTGTCTCATTTCTGTGTGTATGTGGCCCTGGTGATGGATCCTAGGTCCTTTACACTGAACTACACTCCCAGCCCTTTTTATTTTTTATTTTGAGACTGTCTGGCTAGGCGAAGTTACCCAGGTTGGGCTTGAACTTGTGATTCCCCTGTCTTGGGCTCCCAGAGTGCTGGGATCTATCGTGTGTGGCAGTCTCATTGCTTTTAAAATAAACAAGATGTGGCCTTTTTACACAATAGAATATTACTCAGCTATAAAACAAGGCAAACTCAGGCAGGGCGTGGTGGCACACACCTGTAATCCCAGCACTCAAGAGGCTGAGGCAGGAGGATCATTTGAGACTAGCCTGGGCTACAAGGTGAGATCAAGGCCAGCCTGAACTGCATAGTGAGACTGCCTCAAAAAAAGAAAGAAAGAAAATAAGAAAGAAAAAGAGATAAACTCGAGGCTTTTATAGGTAAATGGATGCAACTAGAGCCCATACTCATAAATGAAATAAATCAGACCTGCAGGTGTAAACATCGTATTGTTGGGGCCAGGGAGATGGCTCAGTGGAATATGCACTTCCTTGGCAAGCGCAAGGGCCTGAGTTCAATCCCCAGTTCCACCAAAAAAAAAAAAAAAAAAAATCATATTGTCTCCCTAGTGTAAGAATCTGAAAGAGTAAATAAAATCTAAAAGGTAGAATAGATACTATGAGAGGGAAGAGATCTGGTCCAGGGGAAGGAACAACTGGATGAAGAAAAGGATAAAAGAAAGAAGAGAAAAAGATATATTTATGCATATATGTAGGATAGCTTGGATAATTGAACTGCTGCTTTCTGCTGGTTTGTTGAAAGGAGAGGTTAATGTTTAAAATTTTCTCTTTTAAATTTCTTAAAATTTTTTGACCATTTTTGCATGCTTGTATCTGGCAAGCTAACCAGCTAACTTGAAGACAACAATATGCAGTATAACAATTGTTGCTGAATTCCTATTATGTGCTTAGTGAAATTCTGTATCCATTCTAATTTTGTTTTTACTATTTTTTATTCTCTTTAAAAATTAAAGTCAAGGGCTGGTGAGATGGCTCAGTGGTCTAAAGCACCTACTTAGAACAAGCTAAGCTAAGCAAAACACAGGGACTGCGGTTCAATCCCCAGCACCACATGCCAGCCAGCCCCGCCCCCTGGTGGGCTGAGCTGGCCACACACACACAAAAAAAAAAAAAAAAAAAATCTTAAAAAAAAAAAAAAATTAAAGTCAAGGGGCCAGGGAGGTGGCTCAGTGGAATAAGCACTTGCCTGGCAAGTGTAAGGGCCTGAATTCAATCCCCAGTTCCACCAAAAATAAAATAAAATCATAATCAAAAAATAAAAAATTAAAGTCAACCCAGCTCTTCATGGTGGCCCCTCATGACCTTGAAAAGTTCAATCCTTGTCACTGTCGATCTCATCTCTCTCATGTGACCCCTCACTTTCTGAGCTATTGTCTGGTTTTTGTTCCTGTTAGCCTCTTAGTCTTTGCTTGCTGTTCTGTCTGCCTGGATGCTTTTCCCACTGCCCCTTGGCCTAGTTCACTTCCATCCATCCTCGGAGCCCTTCTCTGGCCTTTCCAGACCAGGGTGTTGACTTAGCGCCCCGTTTACAGCACACTGCCAGCCTTCAGCAGTGGGCTGGTTCTGCGCTAGGTCTCTACGATCCCAGCATCCTCTTGCATGGGGAGAACAAAGACGAGGACACAGGCACAGGCCACAGGCGGTGTGCGGGGGTGGGGGTGGGGTGCTAGGCAGGGTGACAATGTGCCCCAGCCTCTCAAAGACCCTTACCCATCCCGAGGGGCACTGGATCCCAGGTCAGATCTGGACTTTTTCTTCTCTTTCAGCCTCTTGAGCAACCCCTGGTGGAAGGTGGGTGTCAGGTGGCAGAACTCCGGGCTCTGTCCCTACATCTCTAGTTCCTTCCTGCAGAGGAAGGCTCTGCTGTCTTGCAGGACCCAAGGCAAGCTCAGGCTGCATTACATTAGCAGTATTAATAACTAGCAACCAGGTTGAATTCTTCCTCCTCCCTCCCTCCCTTTCTTTTTTT